ATAAAGCTTGCATTTGCAGGGATGCAAAGAGCGCAAAACAATGAAAAAATATTCATATGTATCACGACCATTTTTTTGAAAGCACTCTTTCTTCTCTTCTTTTTTTCCACCAGCCTGATGAAAACATTGGTTATCGCTAACTCGAATTTGACGAACAAAAGTGTCGGGCGCCTGTCGGAAACGGAGAATGATATTTCCGGGAAAAAATGAAGGAGGAGAGGAGGCTCGATATCTCTAGTGAAGAGCGATAGGAAAAAAATTGGAAATTTTGCGCAAAATGTCACGTCTCATCGCTCATCCTTTCCGTTCGTCCATCCAAGCTAATTTGCATATATACTCAAACGTTTTTTATCAATATACGATCGTATAAATTAAAGATAGAGATAGGATGTTAGTCATTCCCATTATATTTCCCATCCATTGCGATTAATTTGTCATGTGCCGAAAAGCGCAATATGAAGTATCTTTATAAAATGTGTAAATAAATGTTAAAAGAATAAGACATTGATTAATCTGATCTTTTTTTAGTAGCAATAATGTCATGAAGCAAACTGTATTTATATATACCTACATAAAAAAATATATACATATATACGCATACATATATAAAAATATACATACATACACAAAAATATATTTATACATATACATACATACATACATATATATGTTTGTCTAGCTTCTTAGAAAAAATCTTGAATTATCTTTTAAGAACACCTAGATTAATCTTATAATACATTTAAATAATAATTGGAGTTTCAATTATATAGCAAAAATATCTACTTTTATATAGTTTATAAATAAAAATATTGCAATATAAAGTACGAATCAGAAAATTTTTATTTAACCTAAAAGTAACGCAAAAGTTAATTTGCAAAAGTTAACTTATTACTTTTATAATTTAATAACATATATTTGACATAATTAATGTTTATCAATTTATTTTTATATCAATAATTACATCAATTACTTTAATCTTAGTATTACATATTAATAATTGATTGTAATATATATTTATAAAAATTATCATATGATAATTCATATAATATTGCAAATTGTTATGTAAATTCGATAATGTTTTATTATATTGTAATTAATTATTATTATATAAATCGTTGGTATTAAAAATGATTAAATATATAACTATTATATACTATTATAACGATGTGGTAAATAGATCGAAAAATTGGCATGTTTTAAGGCAAAATGGCATTCAGTAATCCCTACAAAGTACACAAATGATAACGGACATTATACGTCTCTCGTCATTTTTTACAGTATAAAGCAATAGTGAAGTGATGCTTCCTCTTCATCAAGTATTTACGTATATTGAAAGTGATGCAAACTAATATTGCGACAAGCAATTTATGCTGTGAGGGGTAACAGTTTGGGAAAGTGCTCGAATTTTGCATCGTGATGAAAAAAAAGAACATGAAGAATGCATCTCTGGCAGAAAAATTATAACACTTTATTACGAATAAGTTTTCAGGTAGCGCGAGATTAATAATAAATACACAAATGATATTTTTTTTTTTTTTGGAGAAGTTAGGAAACTATCTTTTTCTCGTATCTTTTTTTTTTCGTAAAAAGATGCAAAATATATAATTGAAAAATTATAAAACTTTGAATTATGAAGCAATACATAGTATTCTATTTAATAAAACATTTTAAAGCTTAAACATTAAAAGTATTTATTACGCTTGTACTCTTTCTCAAAATACATATATCTATATATATATTAATTATACATAATATATTATATAATATATAATATTAAAAACTTATAAAAATATTAAAAATACTAAAAATATATATTTATAAATTAAATATATTTCTTAAATTACATTTAAAAATGAGTGTGTATCTCTCTCTTTCTTGGAATATGCAAAAAATAATTATATATATATATATATATATATATATATATATAATTCTATTTATAATTTTATATATTGCGTAATATTACAAACAACAATATTACAACAATATTACGCAACAAACATTAATATTATAAAATATTGTGCAAAATTTTTACTAATTTTCTATTTTAATAGAAAAGCTAGATATATATTCTGTTAGTGAATAAATTAATTAGACACTTCAAGTATAAAGTTGTTTTCAGACTAAATGGTATAAATTAATATTGTATATGCACGCAAAATTAGTATCCTTGCTAACAAATGACCTAATTCGTGACATGTGCTCCAGATTAGTGTCATAATATTATGCATAATTGCTCTTCGAGCTGCCAGCTGTACGCTGTTCCAGTGTTGCCTCGTAATAACGCTCATATCATCCGTAGAATATTAGGAACAACGATTCTTTCGCAGAATATGTAATAAAAACATGCACATAATTTACACTCTATGTGTCAATAATAGCAATTTATAAATGACAATAAAATAGCAATTTATAAATGACAATAAAATAATACTTTGATGCATAAGAGTGATAAGTATTTTCGCGAAATTACGGTTTTAAAATTCTATCAGACGATAATTAATATCAAAACACAATATATTTCTTCATTTAAAATGTCTATATAATCTATATCAATATATATTTCAACATTGACGACAAATAATAATTTTGAATTTAATTTACATGTATTGACAACGCGCATGCAAAGAAAGAAAGAGATATATATATTTTAAATTTATCTATTTTATTATATTTCTCTTTAATTATAATATTAATTATATAATTTTAATCAATATTATAAAATTCAGAAACTATAGAATATTTTTGTGCGTTTACATATAAAAAATTTACATGTTCATTAATTAAATTTAAATTATTATTTTTTGTCATTAAAAAACATAATATTATTTTAGAATTATATTATTTAATAAAAAATAATATTATTTAAGAATAATAATAATTTAAATATACGTATATATTAATTTTATTATTTTTAATTTATATGTATTAATTTATATGTATTAATTTATATGTTTATTAATTTATACGTATATATTAATTTTATTATTTTATAAGAAGATTTTATTATTTTAAAGTTAATAGAAATAAGTGAAGTCAATCAATTGTATTATAAGATAAAGTTAATAGAAATAAATGAAGTCAATCAAATCAATAATGATCTAATACCCGATTTTGTAAACAATCTGTTTAAATTATTAAACGAAACACGCGTAATCATTGTCTCAAGTCGCAGTTAATCATTCGTCGATATGAAGTTCAAGTTTCAAACTTTCGAGTCCGAACCCTTCTCGAGTCCCATTGAAATTTTGTATCCTTTCAAGAAGACATCGTCCATCTTGTCTTTCCAGTGAATAGGAGGACGCACTCCAGATGTTAAATCTTAAGGTTTAACTTAACCATGTACACACACACACGCGCGCGCGCGCGCGCACACACACACACAATTATATATACATATAAGTATATATGTACACGCAGTATATAAATATATGTATATGTGTATGTCCAAAAATCTGCGTGTATGTATATGTATGTATATCAGTCTCTAATATAAACAGTTCATATAACTGGTGATCGCCGAGAAACAAAATATCAAAATCGTTTTCTAGAAAAGAAACGAGAGAAAGAAAGAGACATAATAAATAAAAAAAACAATAAATTGTATTATAATAAATAGTATTTATTATAATTTTTATAATATATGAAGCAATAAGTATTTAACCCCAGATGTTTCTTATGTAAATCGCTTTTCTTTTGCAAATTTCTTTGATTAATGTAAACGTCTAGAACTTGCAATAAAATTAATAACAAAATTAATTTATAACGAATATAGAAGATTTAATAAATATCTGACCACCCGGTACACAATATCTAGTGTTCTATATAATAACATCTCGAATATTGTAAGCGTAGTCTCTCATACATCATGAGAAGGATACGCGATATGGAAATTATTCGCGCGAGATTTTCCCCATAAATTACGTGAATTAATTTCATTTAACTTCCATCGCATATGGCAAGAATAGCTAATGTTCTCCGCGTTATAACGAAAATTTTTGTTAAATATATTTATATTGGAATAAAACATTTTTATTTTTTCTTTGCGTGCATATTTAACATATATATGAAATATGTAATTTTTTACATACTCTGTATCTCACATGTATCTGTACGTATATATACAAAAATATATTTTATATTAATAATATAATTAATAATATAACTCTTTCAGATTTTTTATATATTGTTTTATATATTATGTTTGATTTTTTAATTTAAGTTTTGGTATAAAATTGGAGAAATATAAAATTCGTTCACTGAAAATAACTTAAAATAACTTTTATAATAAGACAAGACAATATATATATATATATATATATATATATATATATATATATATATATATATAAATGTATAATATTTTATATATAAACCATAATATTTAAGAAAGTATATAAATATGTTAATAAATTTATGTTTATGTATACACAAATACATTATACACTTAATAATGCTAATTGTATTTTTAATAATTATTAAATAAATATAATAGCATATATCACTTTTTATTCATTCTTTCAATTATATATACATATATATATATATATATATATATATATATATATAATTGAAAGAATGAATAAAAAGATAGATGCTATTTATAATGTATAATGTTTTCAATTATATATATATATATATATATATATATATATATATATATAATTGAAAGAATGCATAAAAAGATAGATGTTATTTATAATGTATAATGTTTTTGTGTATACATAAACATCAATAATCGTACGATTCACAAACAAAAACAAAATTATATTTAATGTTTATATTTTCCTTTATTTATATATATTATTTATATGTACAATTATCATATTATTTATTGCAAATTGAGATCAATTCATAAGTTAAGAGAATAATCGACATAATATGATACATGTTCGAGCGAGATTTTATCGTTGATTGATCCCCAATTCGGAATGAACGATGCGCGATCGCACTTGACCTCGTCAAGGAAAGGCCAAAGAAAAAAAAGAAGATAAACTTACCGTTCGTAGGAATCCGGGGTCGTGCAGAGCTCGCTCAGCATGCAGTCCAAATCGGTCGCCAAGGAATTAAGCAACTGAAAAACAGATAAGTAGGTCAGAGAAAAGACTACAAAGATAATAGGTAAATATTTTCATCAAATATCTCTATATTAATCTTTATTATATCTTTATTAATTTAATCTTTGTTATAAAGTTAAAATTAATTTTGAAATTAACGTGGTGTTTTAAAATGAGCATATTTAATTTTTTTGAGATTAAATAATATAATAATAAAAATTAAGAATTAAATTAAAGCTATATTAATTTTAAAAAATCAAATTCATACTATTATATTAATTTTAATTTTATTAAATTTATAAAATTTATTTTCTATGCCAATGTAATTTACATCTTAAATTTATGAAATCTTCTACGTAAGAATCTGTAATTAATATTATGAAAAAAACTCTACAAGTTTAAAAAAGTTTATTTATTCTTAGAAAATAAATTTTATTTTTTCGAATAAATTTAATCTTTTTAAATTATTATGTCAGTAATAATTCAATTTCAATCCTCTTTTACAAAAAAAATTATTTTCTAAAAAATTTATTTATCGTGATTATTAAATTATATTATCATTATTACTTTGATTGATGATTTGATTATAAATCTAATTGTGAGATATCCTATATATCCTGCATAAAATGTCATCAAGACGATAATCATGGCAATAATGCTCGTCACGAGATTCCTTAGCGTGTTTCTGTCGCCGTAGTAACACAGTAAATTCTCCTCTTGTATTTGCATTGCGTCTACGAAAATCGGAAGGCCGGAAAATTAGAAGGTTTCCGTCCGCAAGCATTTTCGCAGAGTCAATATTGAGCGTTGTAGGGAAAGAAGCGATCCGATAAAGCTTCCGTGATGACATGTGAGCAGAAAAATTATATATCTGTACAGTTGAAGCTTTATACTACTTTCGCGGATTTCTTCATTCAACGTATTTTTTTATATTCGTGAGCTCATATAGTTTGTTTATTTATGAAAAGAATACGCTATTCTCTTTATTCAATATTATATATTCTAAATATATATATATATATATATATATATATATATATATATATAAATTAATGAATAAAACTAATATATTGAATTTAATAGAGAACTAATTAATCTTAAATTAATATTGTATATGTATAATATTATTCTAAAAATAAAATTATCTTAGAAGAAGATAATTTAAAAATAATAAAAAAGACATACACACGTACGTATGTATATGTGCGTCTATAATATTATATATATATATATATATATATATATATATATATATATAAAAAGAGAGAGAGAGAGAGAGAGAGAGAAAATAAAAATAAAAAATTAATAAATATTATCTATAAGAGAATACTTTGTTCGGCAATTCTATATTCCCCTTTGTTTTATTGCGGCTGCGAACGTCGCGATCATTAGCGGACCACAATCACCAACCACCCTGACTCGCATAAATACAAGCGCGTACTTGCGGTACGCAGGAATGCGCGTGAGCGCAATTTAAATACATGTTTTCCTCCCTCCAGAGAGACGAGAGTTACATCGCATGGAACGAAGCTCGAAGGGTCATCATGAAAATGTAATTGCACAATCTACCATTCCCGATCATATTTCGATTCCAATCCCTCCCACCTTCTCCGTCGATAGATAGAGCGCAGTTGCAATATGTCAATGCGAACATCGACTCCCATGACACTGCTACTGTCATGTTTACGAACTTATGCTTTTTTCACGACACATTTGACGGACGGCTAAACTACGCGATGCCGCCGGAACTCGGATCTTTATTCTTGCAAAACCTTTTAAAATATTACTGAAAGTAGCGCAGAACTGCTTTTACAGGACTTTTGAGAAATATATTGTTGTATTTTAATCTCTTTCTCTCTCCCCCCTCCCCTTCTTTCCAACCTTCCTCCTTCCTTCTCTTTTGCCCCACTCTTTAGTATGTTATTAATTTATATTATTGTTACGTTTGATTTTTATCAAATATAATATAATGCATTAAATATTTTTTTAAACATCAATTTTTTATACACTATATTAATAATTGTACGTATCAATAATTATATAAAAAAATGTTCTTGTCCATAAAATATGGTTCTTTCATGGGAAAAATGTACTTCGTTTTTTTCAACATTTTGTTTTCTTTTTTGTTTAATATTTTTATATTGTCATTATTACAAGTTGAGTTTTTATTATTTTTGATATCTTAGATGATAGATTTCAAATATGATCACTATTTTAAGTGCAGATCGTATTTTAATTGGTTGTATAATTTGTTATGTAATTTTATTATTTTTAATTAGATAAATTTTTCAAAAACAAAATTGAAATAATTTGTCTGTATTATAAACATAAAAACATTTATATAATTTTTAAAAATGTATTCTTATTATTTTAATATAATAAAAAAAACTAAAGTTCTCTTATATTTTTAATTTATTTTTGTCGAAAGTAATTTTGATGGTTTAATCAGATTTTTACGATTTTTATGAACCAAATACGACATAATTTGGATATGATTATCAATTAGATATCTAATAAAAATATCATTATATATCTAAATCTAAGTGAAAATTATTCGAATTATGTCGTGTTTGATAATTGTAATTTGTCAAAAAAGTCTCATTAATTTGATAAAATTACTTTCAACAGGATATGCGACATATTCCTGAAAAAAAATACACTAAAAATATAAAAATTTTAAATTTTTTCATTATATCAATATAATGATATAAAGATGTGAAAAAACAATATTTTTTCACATCTTTATTTTTAATAGTAAATTATATATACATATATATATATATATATATATATATATAATTTACTATTATATATATATGTATATATATATTATATATATATATATATATATGTATGTATATATTCTTAAATTTAATGTTTTCTTTCAAATAGTATAAGACGTCTTATAAGTTAGCGGAACAAAATGAGCAGAATCAATAATTAATATTCTTATTTGTTGCTCTTTTGTTGTCAAAAATTGCCAAAAAAAATTTGTTGCTCTGTAAGTTTTTTTAACAAATAATTCCGCTCAGGAAAGATTAAGTTAGCGGAACAATACATATAGCAACAAAATTGTAGGTATGTAACAATAATATAAAAATTTGTTGCTCTTAAAAGATTCAATTTATTGCTTGCAAAATAAATTTAAACAATAGCGGAAAACCTTTCACAGCCTGCAAAGCTACAAGAGTAAACTACTAGAAAAAAATTTGTTGCTTGCTTAAATTTGTTGAGATATTGTTTGAATCTGTTGCTCTCGAAATATCCAAATTTCGAATTTGTTGCTCGCATAATAAGTCTAAATAATGATGAGAAATTTTTCACAGCGTGCAAAACTAAATAAATAAATAAGAATAAACTATCAGAAAAAATTTGTTGGATATTTCAAGAGCAACAAATTAGCAACAAATTTTTATATTATTGTTACGTATAATTTTATTGCTACATATACTCGTATTGTTCCGCTAACTTAATCTTCCTTTAGCAGAACATTATTTTTTTTTAATTTACAGAGCAACAATCTTTTTTGTGCTATATATATATTGTTCCACTAACTTAATCTTCTTTTAGCGGAACATTATTTTTTTTTAAATCTTACAAAGCAACAAATTTTTTTCTTTGGCAACTTTTTAGCAATAAATAAGGAACAAATAAAAATATCATTTATAATTGATTCTGCTCATTTTGTTCCGCTAACTTATTAATTTTTTTTATTATTTTAAGATATATGTATAAGTGTAATTTTCATAATTTTTCGAAATATACTATAATAAATCAAAGCTAATTTTTTTTTCTCGATGTAAATCCCTTAATTTTCACGATTATGGATTGGTTAGAATTCCGAACAGATAATTTTTCTCATCGAAAAACTTATTAATAAGAAAAATAACGATAGATAGTGAATCGTGAGTCGGAAGAATTTGACAAATCGAGAAGAGGTCGTGGTATGCGTGCAATGTTGGAAGGTGCATTCGCTGTGATCACGTGGCGTACTTGGTATGAGTCAGCGGAGCGCGAAACCCCATAAAGTCGACGAAGCAGCCGAGTATTCTGGCTGTCGAACTTGAAGCTCTCGCTGGGGAAAGCGATAAATTCGCAAGACGTGCCGAGGAAGCACAGTACTCGGAAAACCTCTCGTTTCGAAGAAGCGTCAACTTTTTAAACCATTGGATAAAAACCATATTCCATAAAACTGATGATCTTGACATTAGCGAAAGAAAAAAGTAAAAATTAAGCGCGACTATGCATTTCGTTTAATTAAAAAGAAAAATAAGGAGACTAATATATCGCTTATATAGAAATGTAAAAAAATAAATCTTTTTTATTATTAGAGAGCTAACGTTAAAAAAAAATGTTTCTTTTTATTCAAAACAAAAATTGATTTTTTTTATTATTTTTTTAATATAATATTATATTTCCTTATATTTTTTATTAATATAATAAAAAAACTTTAAAGTTTTCATATTTTTAATTTATTTTTATTCGAAAGTAATTTTAATAAATTAATGATACTTTTGTGACAAATTACATTAAACGACATGAATCGAATAATTTTCACTTACAATTAGATATATAACAAAAAATTTTATCATACATTTATTTGAAAATTATCCGAATTATATCATGTTTAGTATCACTTTAATCGTAAAAATTAATCCATCAAAATTATTTTTAAAAATAAAAAAAAACTTTAGTTTCTCTTTATTATATTAAAATACTGATTAAAATTTTTAAAAGTTATAAACTGTGTTTTTATATTTATAAAAACAGTTCATTTTCAAGTTTAATTTTATTTTTGGAGAAAATTTATCTAATTAAAAATAGTAAAATTATATAATTATAAATCAATTGAAATACGATCTACATTTAAAATAGTGATGGTGTTAGTTCAAATCTATCAATTAAAAATCAATAGTAATAAAAAACTATCTTGCAATAATCAAAATAGAAAGATGTTAAATTTGACATAAAATAAAAAAAGCAACATAATTTTGAAAAAAGATAAAGTTTGTTTTTA